CCATCAGCTGGGCCCGGGCTGTGCCTGTCGCCTCAGCCCTGGCGCTGCTGCTCTGACGGCCTCGGCCCCATCAGCTTTATCCTCAGCCTGGGCCTTGTCACCCGACACGGGAAGACAGACAAGTTCCTTCAGGGATCCTTGGCAGAAAGACGATGGAATTATTGCCGGGGGCAGCCGGGGGAGCCTCTCCCGGCCCCACCCGGCCCCTGTCAGTCCCAGGGAGCTCAGCGGGGCAGCCCCGATCTCCCCCTCGGCTCCAGGCCCCACTGCCAGGGGATGGCAGCCTGGAGCCATCACGGGACCCTCCTCTGGGCAGCTGCTCCTCTGCACAGCAGCCGCTCGGCCTCACTCAGCCGGGGGGCTTTAAACCTGCTGCAACTGCCGGGCCCACGGACTGGGAGCAAATCACAGCACAAGGGTTCAAAGGCAACCAGGGCGCTCAGCCGGTTTCATCTGCTCCCCACTGGGACAGAACAAAGTCGGGTGGGATGGGCCGAAGAACATCTGGGAATGTTCCACTCACCGATGCTGGAAGAAAAGACCCTGAGGTGACAGAAGCAGACAGTGCTGCTGTGTTTCTTGGGAAAAGGGGTTTCCAAGCATTTTATCAGGATGGAATGGGATCAAACTTAAAGGCAGATCTGGAAAATTGGAAAAAATATTTCTAATTTTCAGTGGGAAATTTAATGAATAGAATTAAAGTACTTTGGGAGGATGAAAGCAGACAGAAATGCATGTGGTTTGTCCCTTGAGCCAGGGAGAAAAGCAATTGGGGTCACGAGTTTTTACACACTTAACAATGTCAAGCACTTGTGAAAGTTACTTAGTCATTCAATTCATTATAGTAATCGAATCTAAGTATTGCCAATATTAGTACAAGTATTCTTTATGTGGTGCACTGCTGCTTAATGTTTGCTCCCTTTAGGCAGTGGGTTTTCTTAAATATAGCCTAAAATATTTTGAATGGAGCACACCTTGTAGCTCTCTTCCGAAAAAAGGAAAATATTCTTGTAAGGAAGAATAAGAAGAGGAGCCAAAATGACAAGTATGAAGAATATGACTTAGAAAAAGGTATGGATAGAAATTAATTTTATAAGTCAAGAAATGAGCAAAGTAAAGTCTGGGTGTGGAAGTATGAAAAAATCTTTTCAAGTGAAAATAAGTTTCATTAAGATACATGGAGGGTTCTATCACCAGCACCATAACTGTTTAATGTGAAGTTAAAAGGACTTGGAGTTAATAATAAGGAAATATTTGAGTGAGGAAAACTGTATGGTAAAACAGAGTATCTATAATATCGCAGAATCTCCTTTAATCTGTGCTTCTAAGGATCTGTTCTAGACAAGCACCTCTCAAGGACTGTGTAGATATGGATGGTATCATATGATCTTCTATAGAAAAATTCAATAACTTTCTTGCGACTGAAACTGTGATGAGCATCATATCTATTTTTATGTTTGCATTTCATAGTCAATTACTGATCCTGCTATAACATCTGAGAAGGTTTTGCCTCATAATGCCCAAAATTGTGTAGGCATGTTAATATAAAATCACAGAATTCCACAGTGGTTTGGTTTGGAAGGGACCTTAAAGATCATCCAGTTTCACCCCCTGCAATGGGCAGGGACATCTTCCACTAGACCAAGTTGCTCCAAGCCCTGTCCAAACTTCCCTGGGCAATCTGTGCCAGGGCCTCGCCACTCTCACAGGCAAGAATTTCTTTTTAATATCCAATCTAAGATATTAGATTCAAACTCTGTCAGTTTGAAGCCATTCCCCCTTGTCCTATCACTACAATTTCTGATGAAGAATCCCTCTCTTGCTTCCTAGAAATATTAATTTCTAGTATCTGAAATATGGCTTTTATCTATTAAAAGTTTCTTTTCCAGTTGTAAAGAGTTCTCATTTTAGAGTTCTGTTTATTTGCCAGAACATCACATTAGTTTGGGGAATACATTTTAAGGGATATTAAAAATTGATTTTTCCAAATTGATAAATAAATAATGTGCCTTTAATTTAAGAAATACTGTAAGTGCCCTTTTTAAAAGAGAACTCTTGTTTTTATTGGCCTATTATGATACTTTTTTTCAGAATTCTTTAACTGGTAAAAAAACCCCTCTAATGGTACAATATGAACTCTAGTGATATGCCAGCTTCAGACATATCACAAGTAGCTAGAACATAGAGAAAAACCAGCAATATCATGTTTTCTTTCATGCTGAACTAACAGTAATATTCACCTGGGGAGGCCATAAATTATGATAAATTTCTGAGATCCAAATAGCATTCCCAGGAGAGGGAAAGCAAACATTCCTTCCTCTGGGATACCTATTGCCATACCTAGAGGATGACAGCCTCTGGCATTGACACTGTCTACGGGGTTGGGCTGCCTGGCAGCTGCTGAGTGCTGACTGACTCCAGGGGAAACACAGCTCCAAAGTGGCCATAAAGGACTATCCCAGAGAGAAAGTTTAAAATAGATGCAGTGCCTGTGTTCCAACAGAACACACGTCTCAGACTTGCGAACTCCTGCACTAGAGGGGCATCTGCATCTCCTGAGCTGACCATTCCAGTTACACAGTATTTTGAAAATATTTTGTATTAAAAGAAAAAACTTCTTGACAAAGAGGTTGAGGAAGTAAACTCAACAGTTGAATTGACCATGAATTTACCAATGAACCTGCCATAGAACCAGGAAAAGGGCATACACAGAGGTCCTTCATTTCTTTTTCCCAGTTCTACATGTATTAGTTCTCTTGAATTCAGAGTTTTTACACAGATAGGACTGAGGACACCATACACACATCAGGGCACTAATGGGTGAAACTCAGTCTTTGCAGTGCAGTCAAGACACAGCTCTGCTCTGAGACCTTGCACCCTGAGAGTGCACTTCTCAGGGAGCAAGGGCACTTTGAGGGACCAGAGGAACTGATTTTGGAGGGATGCAATGCCTGTGTTGCTCAGCTAAATGTGATGAAGTGAAGTTGGCACTGCATCTTTGGCTGCAGCAGATTTGGGATATGTTTTCTCAGGCCATGGTCCTGATGAAGATGTAAAAAATATCCCCTCCTCCTTTTGACAAGGCATTCACTTCTGTTTTGGGATAAACTCAAATATTTCCAAGTACTTTGTGATAAGCCCATGGAGAGAAAGGTCTGTCCCAGGTAGACTTTAGTAGGGTGAGTAGGACAGGACAGGAGATGTAAGCACTTGTCTCCTCAGGACAGGAGATGTAAGCACTGTTAGAATCTGCAGCTGCTGATCTCTCACATGGGCCACCACTCCTTGGCACGTTGGCTGTGGGTTGTCATGACAATGTAATTGTCATTGTCTTCTGCTGGAGCTGTTCTGCTTTACACAACTGATTTGCCCTTTAGGAAGAGCAGGGATTTGTATCCTCCCCTTGGTATCTAGGATGGATGCAGACAGCAATCAAAGAAATGTTTAGACTGACCACCAAGGAAATCTATCTGCTGATGTTACACGGGAAGCTGTGGTGGAGTCTCTTAAGTGACAGGAGCCTTAGTGGTTGGAAAGACAATTCCCTTGAAAATATTCTACTTGTAGTATAAATATGTCCTGCAGATTAACTATAGCACCGTCTACCTTGGCACCTGGGAGATCTCTCTGCAATTCAATCACTATTTTTACTTCCTCAAATATGTGGCTTCATATGCAAATTTGGCTGAAGTGCAAAAAACATGTAAGTTTGTAACAGTCAGTCAGAGATCAGAACACAGGGAATTGAACTGCATATGTGGATATTTGCTTTCTCTGGGTTAGTCTCAGTCAGTGGAGGATCACAGTAACATTCCATGTGCTCAGAGAACACTTCATGGGTTCAAAAAGTGCTTGGACAAATTCAGCAGTTAAAAATTCACCATGAGCTGTTAAATACCCAGACATTGCATTCTGCCCAGGGACTCCATAAACACAAATTACTGGAAGTTGGGAGAGTCTGGGAGAAGTGCCATTCTATCTGGATGCTCCTTCCTGGCCATCACTTTCAAAGACAGAAAGTTTGGCTACGTGGACCTTTGATCTCACAAGCACAGCCTATTTTAGATTATGATACAGTTTCCTGCAGGGGTTAATACTATGCTTCTTCCTTACTTTCTTTTCATTCCCCTTCCTTCCTCATTTTACAGTTACTTGCTGCTTCAATTACCTTTTTCTGCCCAGCTATCTTCCAGCCTGCCCTTCCCACTCACCTGCTCTGTAACAGGAGCCCCTCAGCTCCTTTGGTGGGGGATTGAAAGGGCATCCCAAGGGTCATCTCCTTGGACTGAATCTCCTACTCCAAGCTTTTCCGCTGTGGCTGTGGACACAGGAGGAGTGTGTGTAATGTGCACCTGTGGTTCGCATTTGAAAGCTGCCCATCCTCTAATCCCACATTATGGGGTTTATTTGCCTCTCATGTTCAGTTAACTCATTCTGAGGACTTCCAAGAATACCAGTCTGTGGAAAGTTCCTTAGGAAACAAATGTAACATTAAAATTACCCCTGGGACAGGAGCATTCACTTTCCTTGACTTGTAGTGAGGGTAAATCACAGCTGCATTAAGATCTGCAGAAATTAATTTCTGAATAGAGCAGAAGGGGCAGGGGACAGCAAGGCCATTACAGCCCCTCCATGGCCAGCCTGTGACATCAGCGTGTCTTCACAGGTGCTCACACTTAGACACGGAAATTTTTGCTTACATTTGCCATGGTAAAGAATGAATGGTCCACACTGCTTTTCAACCTGCAGCTTTTGTCTCATTAGTTATGGTCCTCAGTAGTTTTTCCTAGGAAATCATCTATTGCTTTCAGCAATTCTCTCACCCCGTTCCTTCAGCCACATTTATCATTTAACGTTAGTTCAGTGGCAAATTTCCTAACCAGATGTCACATCAAAATTATGGACTGAGCACATTCTGCACATAATATTGAAAGCATGCACCTTAATGGAGCAACACTGAATTGATAAATAACCTTTTAACATGGAAAATGTACTCTTACCATCTCTGGGGTTCAGTGTCCAGCCACATCCTAGCAGAAGTACAGGGATGAGCAGTGTTGCTACAGAGGGTTGTTTCTGCTTGCCCTGTGCTAACATTCCTGGCAGCTCTCATTTTACACAGAGGCAGCAGAAAAGCTGCTGCAGCAGGGGCTGAGTGTTCCCTGTCAGAACGTCCATCACAGGCTGCAGAGCAAACTGACCTCTCTAGGCAGGCCCTACCCTAACAACAACATGGCCAACAACAGCACTTGAGAGAAAGCCCTGCAAGGATTTGTGATCCTTTTTTTGGCAGTGGGGAAATCATGACCAAGTCAGGAAACTTCAGACTCCTTCCTACATCATTGCACTTTCTGGAAGAATCGTAATGTAGTTCTAACCCACATGATTTTTGTATTTCCCAGGAAAGGGTCTGTCACTAGCCCAGCCTCTGCTGTTTTGGGGTGATGGTGTTGGGGGTTTTTTTACATAAAAAATGCTATATGTTAATGTCCTGATTCTGGAATTGAAATATTGCCATTTATTTTGGGGGGATACTACTCTACTCTGTATGAGTTACAGAGTCTGGCAAGAAAAAACATTAGACCAGAAAGTGATTTTCCATAGCTAGTTCTCACATTGCCATACATGTTTTTAAGGTAGAATCAAGGCACTGAAATAAATAATTTTTTTCTTTCCCTAAAATATAAGGGCACTGATACTAAATACTAATTTCCCAGTAGAAGTGAATTTAGGCAATCTTTGATGAAATCACATCCTTTTCTGAAACATTCCTGCAAATAGTAAGTGATAAGCAGGGGAAGGACTTGGTAATGACTGCCCTTCACTATTCTGGACATAATGCCAAACAGTTTAGCAGACATAGGAAAAGTGAAAGAGATGACACTGGTATCTCAGCATCCTAAAGAGAAAGAGCCTGCAGAAAGAAAAGCAGGAAAAGAAATCAGTACAATTGCTCCTCCAACTGAATAATTTCTTCCCTGCTGCCTGTGCTCTCAGAAATGTGAAGCTGTTGTGAGGTCTCCATATGATTTGGAAAAGACCTCTAACATCATTCCATTCAACCTTTACCCCAGCATTGCCAAGTCTGCCACTAAATCATGTCCCCACACATCTTTTAATCCCTCTAGGATGGGAACTCCACCCCTGCCCTGGGCAGCTGTGCCAGGGCTGGACAACCCTTTCAGGTGAAGAAATTTTCCCCAATATCCAACCTAAACTTCCCCTTGCACAACTTGAGGCCATTCCCTTTCCTCCTGTCCCTTGTTCCCTGGGAGTAGAGCCTGACCCCCACCCCGGCTTCCCCCTCTGTCAGGGAGTTGCAGAGAGTGAGAAGGTCCCCCCTGAGCCTCCTTTTCTCCAGGCTGAGCCCCCCAGTTCCTTCAACCACTCCTGGTGTGCCAGACCCTTCCCAGCTCTGTTCCCTTCCCTGGACACACTCCAGCCCCTCAATGAATTTCTTGCAGTGAGGGGCCCAGAACTGCCACCAGGATTTGAGGTGCAGCCCAGAGATTTTTGCAATATACCTATCTGAGTGTCCACATGACCAGGATTTTTAAATCTGTGGAAGCAAATTCCTCAGGTTAGTTTGCCTACAAATATGAAGATACCTTCTTGAACTTTGCACGTTCTAGCTGGGTTTGCTTTATTTGTTTCTCTCTGGGCAGAAAAGAAGATCAGTGAGACTGAAGAGGAGCACAGAGACTTGCATTCATGCTTCTTTTTCTGGTGTTGCAACTAGACAGGAGGTCCTGATCAGCTTGGTCCAGGGTGGAAGGAGGACCTAAGCAGAAGGCCTGAAGATGGCTGGTTCTGTGCCAATGACATGGAGATACTGGTCTTGGACTTTCTTTCTAACTAGGCAAGTTACAAGGCTGCTCTAAGAAGCAGACCAGAGAGTGAGATTTCCATGGGGCCACAAAGTCAAAAGCTTTGATAGTGCTCCACTTTCACACTTCACCAGTGTTCATGAGTTTCCCTCTTTCTTCCCAGAACTCCTCAGCTCATGCTCACTGAACAAAACGGAAGGGAAATCACATTGTAGGGACTTACAGAAAGTGGGATGGGACCTGTTTTCATCATGCTTGGATGTCATCACATCAGCACTTTGCCCACACCTTATGTCTGTGCAGGACCATCTTTATCCAGGGATTTCTCTGATTCTGCCTCTTCTGACTGTGCTGTGGTTTGCTTCTAGTTCTACTGGACTCCAGGCCCTGAAACAGAAGTGGCAAAATGTCAGTGGCTGGCAGGATTCATTTCTCTCTTTGTTTTGCATGAGGACATTGCTGCCTCTTTCAACAGATTCCTCTTCCCAAGGACAGGTGTCATCTTGGCTGCCCCATGGTTGGAGAGAGGAAGTTGGCTGGTTTTCTATGGCCTAGCTCATGGAACTGTGAGAACTGTGGAGCTAAATCTTCATGAAGTCTGGATCTGGTAATTCAAATTAGAGAGTATTCCTCTGCAAGAGCCTGGAATGCCCAATAGGCCATGTGACAGCAATTTATCACTTCAGTGGGACTGATAATCTCTGTGAATTAAAAAAAATCCAAAGTTGGTGTGTACCCCAGAGCTTTTTACAAGATCCTTATCTGAGTGTCCATATGATCAAGAATTTTAAATCTATGGAATAAAGATCATTTCATTCCATCTCCCCATACCATGGGCAGAGACACCTCCCACTGTCCCAGGTTGCTCCAAGCCCCATCCAACCTGACCTTGAACACTTCCAGGGATGGGGCAGCCACAGCTTCTCTGGGCAACCTGTGCCAGGGCCTCCTCACCCTCACAGGGAAGAATTTCTTTCCAACATCTAATCTAAACCCACTCTCTGTCAGCATGAAGCCCCTTGTCCTGCTGCTCCCTTGTAAATAGTCTCTCTCCATTCTTCTTGCAGGTTCCCTTCAGGTCCTGGAAGGCCCCAGTCAAGTCGTCCCAAAGATTCTCTTCTCCAGACTGAACAATCCCAATTCTCCCATCCTTTCCTCTCAGCAGAGCTGCTCCATTCCTCTGATCCTCTTGGTGCCTTCTCTGGACTCTCTCCAGCAGCTCCATGTCCTCCCTGTGGCATCTGAGCGGGCAGAGGGGCAGAATCCCCCCCTTCCCCTCTGCCCACGCTGTGGGATCAGCCCAGGGCATGGGAGGTTTCTGGGTCTCAGCACACATTTGTCCAGTGCACTCATCACTGCACTGTAGTTCCCTGGATTTCTCCATAAGCCCTTTCAATACCATGGCATTGCATTACTCACTGGGCAGTCCTGTGATATCTAGATGGATTTTTAAGTAGGAGTTTCCACACTATGTTTGGAAACTATAAGTTCTATAAGTTCCCCTAGATTTTTGGACATCTGTATTTGAGGATTAAGAAGAAAAGAAATCTCTGCAATGAGACTACTAACCTGATGACAAGGGTCTGAAATCAGTTTTGTTATGGGAAAAGCACAAAATCCCAGAAGCAAGAGAGGAATAGCTGCAAATGTAGGAATTTTACAAGGAAGAAGGGGAACATGAGCAGAATTATGGAGATAATGTGCACTACTGGAACATGGTCATGGGACTGTTTAGGAGGAAAAGGCAGGGGAAATGAGAAGGATTTATGCTTTATGTCAAAGTGCTCCTTGCTTATGCAATGCTCCATGTGAGGCTGCAGAACATTCTGTCAGAGATAGGAGGAAAATGAGGGATGTTGTGATGGGGTCTGTCATGGACCACCTGACCAAGACAAAGCAGTGGAGGAGGATTTCTACAACTAGTAGAAAGTCACAAGTCTCCTCTGCCTTAGAGAGGTTTTCAGCCATGTGGACATCTGCTGTGAGGCAACAGCACCAGGCAAGTTGTGCCAGAAATTCTTAGGCAGCGCTAATGTCAACATCCCAATGTAAATACTGGCCAGGCAATGCTGAGTGCTGGCAGTAAGGATGAACTAGTGATAAATATGATCCCAGATGGCAGCTTAGGCTGCAGCAAACACAAGATGACTGGATGAAGGATCTAGTGGAAAGCTGGGAAGATAAGCAACAGAATTAGCACTCTAGACTTCGTAAGACTGTAATTCATTGCATTCAGGGAACTGCCAGTTAGCAAACACATGGCAGCAGCTGTGAAAGAGAATGCCAGGAGAGGAGGTTAGAGTTTAAAGGAAGATTATGAAGAGCACAGGAACAAACTATCTTGTTCTGCAGGCGGATTGGGAATTGGATCTTAGCTAAGCAAACTTCTTGCTGAATTAAAACACAAAAGCATGTAAGAGGTGGAGGCAAGGACTGGCAACAAAATAAGGACTATAAAACATTGCTTGAGTGCTTCAAACATTGAACATATCAGTTCTGCATGGATGATGCAGAAGGGAGTTCAGAGAAAATGTGTGTTTGATGCTGAATATGGGTGACCACCTAGTGAGAGATGATTCAAAAAGCACTTGTATGCAGCACCTTTTCTGTGTCAGTCTTCATTGGCAAAATTTGTCCCTCAACGTCAGCATCTTCCAATAGAGTTTGAGAAAGAAAGGGACAATCAAAGTGGGGAAGTCCTTCTTAGTGAAGCTGAACTTTCTAAGAGAAACTGAATTTATTCACATCCATGGGGCTGGGTTGTGACTCATCAAAGGTTGCTGAAGGAATTCACCCACATAATTGCAAGGCTTACGTTTACCATTGGTGAAAAATGATGACTCCCAGGGAAGGTTCCAGATGAGGGGGAAAAGGCTGTTGTTACACCCACCTTTAAAAAAGGCAGGAACCTGTACCAGGGAAGCTGTAAGCTGCTCAGTTGCACTTTACTTATTTGAAAGACAATGTGTCCTCTTGATATTTATCAGGAAAAGTAATCATGTTTGATCAACCTGTTTGGCTTCTATGATGAAGCGACTGCTACCCTTTATTAGTTCTTTTCTGATAATTGGCAGGCTTTTGCCCGGGTAATTTTTAATGGTATCATTAAGTGGTCTTTAGTCTACTAAAACTGAACTGCTGTCCTTTGATTCCTTATTTCTACACAATCATATTGAATTTTTGGGGTTATTTTAACCCTTCAAAGGATGCTGTATTATGTGTATTGTCATAGATCAATTCTTAAACAGCTTTATTTTCAGCTATGTCCACAGCTGTATTCGAACCAGGTAAGTCAACACTGCTTTTCTTTTACACCCTAATTAGTGATTTCATGCAGCACTCACTGACAGTGAGTACTAGAACCCAAAATATCATTTGCCTATTCTGTGTGGAGTAGTTGGAGGCTCCTCTGTGTGTTACATTAGTTGCTTTAGCAGTCTAGTAGCCCCTTTTATTTGCAAGTGTTATTTCTGTCCTGACAGCTTAGCTGCTAAGAAAGGAGGAGCCACTTGGTGAAGGGCCTGAAGCAGCAAACTTGAGGAACCTGAATTCCCTGAACAGCATGAGCATGGAGAAATTTTTACACAAGACTTCAGTACTGGACATGGCAAGAAAGGAATTCAGCTCCATAATTTCCACCTCTCTTGAGTGCAGCCTGTTTGGTAGGAGGCTACTGTTCAACCAAAAGAGACAAGGCTATGGTCAGTATATGTTCCTGAGTGACTTGTCTTTCTCCAAGGATCTGTGAGTGGCAGCTGAAGATACAGAGAAATTTGGCAGGTCCCTATTCCTGTATGAAGAATTATTTTGTGAAGGTTACATGATAAATCAGATGCTACATGCTGTCCACATTACTGTATTAACTAGGCAAGAATTCAAAATTTCCACATCAGTCCTCTGGTGTGGGCAACTGGGCAACTCTTCTTCCTAATCCATGTGAAAAGATGAACCTTCTGAGATATTCAACTGTCCCCATAACTTGTGTGGTGTTCTCAGGGCTGAGCTCTGGGTTTGGCTTCCAATCTGAGGTCCAAAATGTGCCAGAGGGTCTCCTACAGCACAGGAAATCACTTGATGCTGTATATTGCACTGGATCACTGACACTGGTTTTCTGCCCTCTTTGCTGTGATATTCACTGAGATATTTTAATGATTGAAATGCAAATGACCAGAAGACAAGTGTGTTTAGACCCGGAGAATCTGAAGAAGTTTAGGGGATTAGTGTAGATCAAGTGTGGATGTGGCACTTGGGGACAAGGTTCAGGGTGGACTTGGCCGTGCTGGACTAATGGTTGGACTGCCCTTTTCCAACCTAAACAGTTCTTTGATTCTATGATTCTGTGATTACACCCTTTCCTAAAACTAGACCAGTACTAGATCAGTTAGTTGCTTGCACTCTTTATCCCACACCATCAACATTACACAAGAATTCCTGCAACTTCCTACTGCCTCTACTGCTCTGGTACAGACAGTCTTGTGTTGTTGGGTGTTTCTGGGACTGTGAATGTGTAAATACACTTATTTTGATGGCACGGCACTGCAAGACTGAGGATTTATCAGAATGTATAGTAGCTGGAACTGTATGTTGAGGTGATGAGTGTGATTGTGTGCACGAGCATGGCAGGGAAAGGCATGTTGGTTTTGGGGGAGTTGCACATAGAGAGGGGATATGGGAACTACTGGAACTTCATATTTGACTGAGGAAACTCATTATTTATGCAGACAATAAAGGGAGAAAGCAAGCATCAATTTCAAGTAAAAAATGAAAGACAGTCAACAGTGAGAGAGAGCAAAGTTTCTTGAGGAATCACTTTTTAAATGAAATTTGCGTAAATACATATATTATCTATGCACGTACAAGTATATGTTTTGTTTTGATGTGGTAGTGTATACTCCCTTCCTCCTCAGGGCTGATCTACAATCTCAGGGATTCCCATAAAGCCTTGATGTTTGTGTACTGAGTGTCCCTTGACTCTATCAAGAAGCCTTGCATGGCAAAGGTGGGAGCACCACTGTCCATATCAGGAATTCCTGTTGCCTGGCTAAGGTGAAGGATGAGAGAGGGAATAATCAATCACCTGCTTAAAGCCTTGGAACTTTCCCTACCTGAATTGTAACCCAAGTGGAATGGTACCATTGTTGCTGGAGTTTTGGTAACTCCAGTAGAATTGTTACTAGAGTTTTGGAAGCTCCAGTAATTCCTGACCTGGATTGTGGTCAGGATGGAAATTTATGGATGACTAAACCCAAACATCTTGAAGCCCTTTAAACAGTGGTCACAGTGGTCCTAAGTGAGGCCCTTTGGGCTCTCCTGGACTGCAGCATCTCCCTCTGACTGGGGCCTCTCAGAGCTCACAAACTCTCAAGTTTGTGAAAATTGGAGGCCTGATTTTCAAAAAATTCTCGAAAGCTGATGACATGGCTGTCAGAGACTGAAACAGTTAATGACTTATACATTCTAAGATCACCAAAAGACTTTTGCAAACTGAAAAGCAGCAGTTTCTCACCCAGCAAAGCCCACTTCTCCCTGAATACTGCCAAGGGGCCTTTAGATTAGATAAGTGGATGCCATTGTCCAGCTATCGGGGTGCAGATGCCTGCCTGAGGCTGCAAACTGTATTTCCAGATAAGAGAAGAGGCTAAGAAGAGGCAAGTCCTGTAAGGTGGGAGAACCTTTTCTCATGCCAGTGTCCTCCCTTTACATGATAACTGCACATCCAGCCTGGGCTATGCATCTCAAATGTTGGACCACAATGGGCCATGATTGATGCTGACACAGTGGGCAGCTGCAGCTCTCTTAGGAGATGTCAGAGACTCAGTGACATGTCCCATGGCACCATCCATTGTAAAAGTCCCCACCCCGGGGAGGTACAAGGTCTTCCCACCTGAGCTAGAAGTGTATAATAACTCATAACATCTTTGAGTTTTGGGGGGTCTTCCCCCACCCCCAACAGATCAAGACCACCACTTCGACCAACAGACATGGAAGCTGCAACTACCAAGTTTCATTGTTGGATCCAGTGGGTGGTGACTATGTATATCTTTCCACCTTTATGCTTTCTTTCCCTTTCTTTCCCTTATGCATTTCCTTAAGTGTTATCTTTCTGCTTTAATAGTGCTATATTGCTATGCTCTAATGTTGCAATATTGC